CTGCAGAATCAGCTCAAATATAGCTTTAAATATTTATTTACGATTTTGTTAAATTTTTTAATAATAAACATTTTTTTTATAACTATATTATATATTTTTAGAACTTCTGTGAACGTCCTTGCTGGTTATGTACTCTGTCAAGACTGGGTGTACACAGGTTACCAAAAATAAAATTTTGGGAAAGGGCAGTTTTTACCCTCCTAAAATATTTTTGGGTAAACCCTGTGTACGCCCCGTCTTGACACAGTCTTGTACATAACCAGCAAGACGTCCTAGAAGACGTCCGATAGATAAATTTTTTTTCGGGGGGGTTTTTTTTGGGTGGGGGGGGGATAAATAATAATTTTTTTGAATACACTAAAGGGTCTTGATGTCCTTAGAAGACGCCCTTTACAGACGTCTAAGAAGACGCCCTGAGCAGACGAGGGTATGGGGGGGTGGGGGGTGGAAAACAGCTTGTCTCGACAGCTTGCAGATGTAGACATATGGCGCCAAAGTAATAAATCTTGAGGGAGATAATGGCCCCCTGCCGTGAAGTAAACCGACACCCATCCGTTTTGAGGAGAGACGGATTCAGGGTCTTTTCGGTCTAAAAACGACTCTTTTATTAGTACTAAAACAGAGTCGGACCGGCGCCAGTTTTTGGGGTCGTGCGGGTCGTTTTCAGACTCTAAAACAGGGTCGTTTGTTCTATGCGGGTGGTTTCCTATACTTTCCTTATACGGATTAATTTGATCCTTTTTCAATATGGCCCGTGGTGTTCATACCGTGCAATTAAAAGTTTCCACGTTGGATATCGAGATCAAGTGATCAACAATACTCCACACAAAAGTTTTAACCTCTCCTGAGATTTCAGAAAAAATGGTTTAATTATGATTTTTGCTTTCTCAAATCGTTTACCCTTTTCATCCTCGAGATAAAAACTGCAAACTTGTTTTCTTCAATCCTCTCTAAATGCGAAATAATCTTTTTTATTTTGAAATACATAACACTGGTTTAACCATACAGGATGAGACTGTAAAGACGACCTGAAGCTCTTTAAATATGACGATTCCTTGGTTAAATTTAAATTTAAATTCAGTTAAATTCCTATGTTTATTGGAACTGGAAATAAGAGAATATGTTTATTAGTATTGTGATAATAAAATGAAAATAATTTACTGTAAAAGAAAAATTTGTTTGCCACAAACTCTTTTTTCTAATTTTTATATAGATGCAACAATCCAAGTAAGAAATATTAAAGGTTTACACTATTAGGTTGCAAAAACGCTGTGATTAGAAAATTTAAGCTTGTGGCAAAAACTCAGTTCCTTTAAACTGATAAAAAATATTTTTTTTAAATTTCAGTTTTTAAAGGAATATTTTCCTAGAAACATGAAGTTTTTGAGATCTTCAGGAGTTGTATCACGTCTAGGAACCACGTGGAACGGTGTCATGAAGAACTACTTTTTGTAGCGGTTTAAACAATTTAAACATTTTTTTCATGCAAGTAAAACCTATTTTAAAACCAAGTTTAAAGACTATTTGTCCCTTTTCTAAACGTAATTTTGACTTTTAAGGGACTGTGAGCGTGATTTTGAGTATCCCTCCATTCAACGAGATTTACAAAAATCTACGATGCCTTATGTCATCCCCAAAATATTATTTTAAGAAATTATACAAAATCTTGCTCTGATGAACAATTCGTTCGTTGAAAAACTATTGATTTTAGTTCGCTAAGAATTATATCTTCTGTTAAAGTCAAAACTTTGTATTTCTTAACCCTATATTTCTGCTGGTTTGGGGGGGGGGTAATTTTTTTAGATAACTCAAAAAGTGTTGGTCTGAGGCTGTTGAAATTTTCTGACTTTTCATAAATACCCAAAGCCCTCCCGTTAGGTCTAAAACCGGGCTTTTATACTAACTGTCTGAGTCCTCAGACTTATTGCCTGAACGACTACTTTTTCCAGTAACAAACTAAATCTTAGTTTTGACCCACTTTCAACTGTCAGATTTAAAATTTTTTTAGCTTTTGGAAAACCTATGACATGGGAAAACTGATTGCACAAGTTTTGCAAATTATTTTCATATAACCCGTCAAATGAATTTTGCACATTTTTAGTTTTTCTTAATTACAAATCAGGTTATTTAAAATTTTGAAATTTTTTTTGGCATATTTTAAATGGCATGGTCAAGGGCTTTTCAAAAATACATATTTTATAATTTTTTGGACCCTTATTTTTGCAAACATTTTAACTGTAAAACTGGATTTGGCCAAAAAATTTCAATTATTTCTAATTTCAAATGTATCATTTGTAATAATTGGACATCAAATACGGGATTTAAAAATAACATTTTTGTTGTTGTTGACAAATAAAAACATGTGACTGATGTTATATTTTAAAAAATTACACTGCACAATTGCTGTGTTTCATGGTTGCTGAACTTTTTAAAGTTAACACTTGATCTTCAAAATCGTCTTACTATTCCTGAGTTTTCTGGTTATCACTGAATGTAGCTTAACCCTATTCCTGCTGGGGGGTTGACCCCCCCTGTAGTTTTTTTTACATAACACAAAAAGTATTGATTGAGAATGTTGACATTTTTGACTTTTCCTAAATACACAAACTATTTGAAACAGTTTTGAAAATGCATGTTTGATTAATCAAAGTAAAGATAATAAGATAACAAGAGAAAGTTTGGAAAGTGAATCTTCAAAATCCCCCCCAAGATTACTGAACATCTGGACATTTATGTATTGTACTGAATAACCTCCACAGTCCAACACTTCCCAAACCAAATGCTTCCGCCTGTTATTCTATATATATTCTGAGACTTTAGCGTTGCTTAAATTTCGTCTTCATATTTCAAATTTTTCTGGTTATCACTGTAAAATATCTAAAAAGCCAATAATAAGATGCCAAACTCCTCTTTAAGTCATATTTCAACTTTGTTTAGTTAAACCAAATATTAGCCTTAGTATTCTTATATTCTGTGTTGCACCATATTTCTGGATACTGAGTTCTGCTTCGGTATAAACATATACTTTCCTTATACGGATTAATTTGATCCTTTNACATCAAATACTAAACAGTAGTAGGGCAGTACTATAGAGTTCAGCACATCAAATACTAAACAGTAGTATGGGCAGTACTATAGAGTTCAGCACATCAAATACTAAATAGTAGTATGGGCAGTGCTATAGAGTTCAGCACATCAAATACTAAACAGTAGTTGGGCAGTACAATTGAGTTCAGCACATCAAATACAAAACAGTAGTAGGGCAGTACTATAGAGTTCAGTACATCAAATACTAAATTGTAGTAGGGCAGTGCTATAGAGTTCAGCACATCAAATACTCAACAGTAATATGCGCAGTACTATAGAGTTCAGCACATCAAATACTAAACAGTAGTAGGGCAGTACTATAGAGTTCAGAACATCAAATACTAAACAGTAGTAGGACAGTACAATAGAGTTCAGCGAATCAAATACTGAACATTAGTAGGGCAGTACTATAGAGTTCAGCACATCAAATACTAAACAGTAGTACGGTAGTACTATAGAGTTCAGCTTATGAAATAATTAACAGTAGTAGGGCGTACTATAGAGTACATGGCCGACTTTTAACCAGCTAGACCAAACAGTACTGAACGTTAAACCTTAAACTATTTTTAAGAAATAATCATCTTAGTTAAAAAAATAAATTAAAATTTTTCTATTCACCTATTGAGTTGCCAGTGTATATAATGAAAACCCATGATGTGCCTGCACATATTTAATATTTATAATTCTTTTCTTGAAGTATAATCGAAACTAATCATTTTCTGGTTTAATTGGTGAGATTTGTTCTTTTTTATGAATTCTATTATAAATTTATCAAAAACAGTGATAATCAGAAAACTCTGGAATAGAAAGTCGACTTTTAGAGTAAAGTTATGACTTTTAATAGTCCAATGAACATGAGACACCGTAATTGTGCTGTGTTAATTCATTTCACACATAAGTGTTTTTCTAACTTTGCTTTGTAAGAACATCAAATGCAATTCAGTATTATTTTAATGTCATCTTCTCTATCTACAGTTTTCTGGTTATCACAGTATATATATATATTGGGCCCGATATTTTTTTTGTAGTAGCTAGATGTCCGTAGGACAGGTTTTTAGTTGTTTCCGTGTACTTTATAAAGAATGACGGCATGAAATGAACATGAAGAATCACTAAAAGCTGTTCCAAGAAAAATGCCTGAGGCTGGAACTTTAGCTTGATCCCGCAATTAAAGTTATTCTTGCAGGCTATGACCACAATTGGATAGATCGGAGAGGAATTTAATTAATTTGTAGATCTGCATAACCTTGAGATTTACAAAACAAAAGTTCCCTCTCGACCCCCCTTTTTGATCCCCTACAGTTTTTAAGTTACATCCAGGCTGGAATTACATTCGGGCATATAAGAAAGTACTTTAGAAAAAACTAGATGTCAAAATAATGATAAATTATGCAGATACTAGATATCCCTTGCAAAACTTTAAAGTCTTATTTCTACGCCCTTGGAGCCCCCTGTTTGAAATATCATTTTATTTGAATCAGTATTTCCAAAATAGCACCCTATCGACCCCCCTTTTTTCAACAGTTTGCGCCCCTGCAGTTTCTAAGGTACATCCTGCAGGCCAGAAATCCATTCAAGGCTATGCAGAACATAGTTAAGAAAAAACTAGATGTAAAAATAATGATTTGTAAGGAAGATATACCCCTCTGGTTCTGAGTGACCAACTCCTATGAAAGAAATATTTTTATTCCTATTTTGTCTTGTGTTGGGTAGAGGAGGAATATAAGAACAGATTCCCATAAATAGAAACAAGAATATCTAAACAATAAAATTTAATTTCTTCTTATTCTAATTACCAGTAATTCTAAAAGATTGTCATCAAAGATTCTGAACACTACTACTGTCTAAAATATAGAAATGTACGTCGATATGAACAAGTATGAAAACTCTATTAAAAATTATTGAGACTGGAGTTGGACCAACTTTTATAACACGGACAAAGAGGCAAACATTTGGTTTAAAAAGTTCCAAGCTACCATATTTATCACATTCAGGTTTATCAAGTACATGTTGTTATTAATCTTTAATAATGCTTTAAATGATGGGTCACTTTTAATTACGTAAGATATGTTTTAGTCGTCTGTTTTTCAAGAGACAGTAAAAATGACCTGAAACTCTTTAAATATGACGATTCAAAGGTTGACTTAAGTCTCCTGCCTTGATTATTGTTGTTTTAGGACTTATTTAATGATTTAGCAAAGAACGAAACAAGTTTACAGTTGCAGGATAAAAAATAACAGACAGTGTAAAGTTGTCTCTGAAGTCGCATCCTGTGCTTTAAATGTAAACTGCCCAAAATCAAAATTGGGGTTATTGTAATTTCCCCCCGGATTCTATCCTGTGTGGGTAACCCTGTATAAGGCGAAAGCATTATACCCAGCAAACAAAACAGCTGTCTCCGAGAGAACGAAGAGATTTCGTCTGTAGGTTCCTCCGATATTCGCCTTGTTTCCAGGACACAACTTCTTTATGAAGGAACGTATCTAAATCATTAAACAAATAGATTTAAGATAAGCTCCAAAAACAATTTCGTTTTTAATATTTTCCATGTCAAAAGATTGATTACTTTTCTCAAACTCAAAATTTACAATCCTTAAAATTACAACTTTTTTTTACCTTTGACATTTCAAACTTTTAATTCTTCCTGATCAAATAATCAAGTTTGAAATATTAAAGATTTACAACAGGGTGCAAAGCGTACGAATTAAAAAATTAGAGTTTATGTTATATTAGTTTCGTAGAGGAGCCGGTTTAAAGATTTTAATATTTAATTTGTTACCTTGAATAGAAACATACAACCGAAGATGGTGCTAACCCCCGTTAGAGCAACCACTATCAATCTTGGCTTCACGTAAATATCTAAAGGAATGGAGTCTATAACACAAAATATTATCTTCTGATCCCTGTATTTTTGCAACCAGATGTCGTAGACCTTAGATATTTCAAACTATAATCATATTAGAACAAATAATTTAGATTTAAAATATATCAAAGTGAAAAAATAGGAGTTAGAAGATTTGAGTTTGTGGCAAAGACTTAATTTCTTTAAACAAGATTTTCTAATTTCTAATTTTCTAATCTCTATGCAACTTGATGGTATAAACCTTTATTATTTCATACAGAATTCATAGTTTAAAATATCTAAGGTCATACGACATAGGGCTGCAAATATATAGAGATTATAAAATCAGAGTGTGTGGCAAAAACTCAAGATTTTAGTTGTAATAAAGCAGCGAATTTACAAAAATCTGAAATGGACTAAAAATGTGATTTCAAATGGTTCACCAATCACCATTTATACATTGGCATGTCCGATTCACTACGTTAACTGCAGCAATGTTCGATTTTTGACTGCGGAAAGTTCCGCGTTTTTCAGAGCTAAAATTAATATTTGCTGAAACAATACAGGAAAACAGGGTTTTAAAAACTCAAATGAAAATATTTATTTTTGTAGTTTCAGATTTAAAAAGATATATATAACTCACAAAAGTATAGATTTACAGAATTAAAATCAGATTAATCGGAGACATTATAATTACAAAAACAGCCAAGCATATTGGAGCGATACATTTGTTAAATCTAAGATAAAAAATTATGAATTTAGTTTTTACCCTGAACAATTTATTTGACATAATATATGAATGTTGATGAATGAGCACTGACGAATGTTGATGAATGAGCACTGATGAATGTTGATGAATGAGCACTGATGAATGTTTATTAATGAGCACTGATGAATGTTGATGAATGAGCACTGATGAATTTTGATGAATGAGCACTGATGAATGTTGATGAATGAGCACCAATGAATGTTTATGAATGAGCACTGATGAATGTTGATGAATGAGCACTGATGAATGTTGATGAATGAGCACTGATAAATGTGGATGACAGATTTAAGAGTTTACCTGAAGTTTCTTTGAGATTATCCTTGTCGTAATCTAGTCTCTCCTCCATACAGATTCTCCCTCGGACTGTGTTTAAAGGGTATTCAACCTTCAAACAAAGGAACTCAATACTTGTCTCAAACTCTATATCTTTGTAACCGGACTGTGAAAACCTATACTATTTCAAACTTAGACTATTTGATCTTGCAGAATTCCTAATAAAATATTAAAGATTTAAATCTTCAGGTTGCTAGGATATTAGAAAATTAGAGTATGAAGCAAGTGTTTTTTTCTTCCTGTAAACTTGAGATGGAGTCTTAATTGTAGGATTATTTTTTTTTATGAAAGTTCAGGGGAGAGATTTTGCAATGATGGTCTAAAGCACGGGTTAAAACTTATTTTTATGATATATCTTGCTGAATCATTAGTTTTCATTAAAAAGTAAATTCAAATCATTTCGTAAATCGATTAATCATATTGATAATGATAGTATTTAGAGAACTGAACGATTAAAAAAATTAACCTTATATATTGGGGTTCCTGGCCATGTTCCGTAGGATACTCCGAAAAATGTTACAACCACCAGAAAATAAACAGTGTGCAATAGTTTCGTGTTTTTCAGTCCTCTGAAAATAAAAATCACACAAACAATCGAAAGGAATTGAGTTTTTGTCACAAATTCGAATTTTCTAATCCCGATACCTTTTTAACCTAATTATGTAAACTTTCGTTATTTCAAACCTAAATAATGTAATCCAACAAAATTCATAGTTTAAAATATCTAAGGTCTGCGACTTTGGTTTGTAAAGATATTGGGATTAGTCTTTTTCATCGTGTTACGCTAAACTATAGACAGAGGGAGATGGCGTTATCTATGCAACATTGCTGTTTCGACTTTGTGACCTCGTGGCTACTCTAGTTTTATTTTACTCACAATCATGAGGAAGCAAATTTATCCGGTTACAAAATAAAAATTCACAATATTTTTTCTTTTTTCAAAGCTTTTTAATAAGAGCAGTTATGACTAAAAACTTATTTAATTTAGTTTGACGTGGTTTAAGCTTTTCAGTGGCATTTGCATTGAAATTATCTATAACAACAAGAATGGGTTCACACCCTATGCTAATGGTTAATGTCAAAGTATAGAAAAGTAAATAATAGTGGGTTCACACCCTTTGCTAATGGTGGATGTCAAAGTCTACTACAGACAACAAAAATGGGTTCACACCCTTTCCTAATGGTGGATGTCAAAGTCTACTACAGTCAACAAGAATGGGTTCACACCCTTTGCTAATGGTAGATGTCAAAGTCTACTACAGTCAACAAGAATGGGTTCACACCCTTTGCTAATGGTAGATGTCAAAGTCTGCTACAGTCAACAAGAATGGGTTTACACCCTTTGCTAATGGTAGATGTCAAAGTCTACTACAGTCAACAAAAATGGGTTCACACCCTTTGCTAATGGTGGATGTCAAAGTCTACTACAGTCAACGAGTATGGGTTCACGCCCTTTGCTGATGGTAAATGTCAAAGTCTACTATAAGTCAACGAGTATGGATTCACGCCCTTTGCTAATGGTAGATATCAAAGTCTATTACAGTCAACGAGTATGGGTTCACGCCCTTTGCTAATGGTGGGTGTCAAAGTCTACTACAGTCAACAAGAATGTGTTCACACCCTTTGTTAATGGTGGATGCCAACGTCTACTACAGTCAACAAGAATACATTGCTACTTTTCCTATATCAATATGTATTTAATGAATGCATTCCTGAAAATGTTGATTACTTAAGTGCTGACCAAGTATTTACTTATAAATCCACAATGAATGTATATTCAGTTGAGATTTCAATATAATAATCTGTTTCAACAAATACCGATCAGAACAAAATTTTTAAATATTATATTTTCAGTTGCCTCATAATAAATTTTCTTTCGTGTTTTATTTTAAGCTGAACCACCATACATTATTATTTTGTATTTTGTGTTTGAAAATAAATACTATAATCATCTTGACTTGATTAAAAAAGTAAAACTTTAACCTGAGCAGAAGTCCTCTATCAGCATAAAGAATGTATGCGTATCTAATTTTTTATCAAGTTAGGTTATTTTTTTGGCGTAATGATCTAATTTGGAGTCATATATTCAAACTGGAAATTCAAACTTATAATTTCATATTTGCAACTAAAATCTGAAACAATTAATTACATCTGAAGGGACTCCGCTGTATTTGTTTGCCGTCCAATTCTCAGTATAATTTTAAGCTACAGATATTTTTTCTTGAAACTTATTTGATAGAAAAGTATTTACTGGAAACTTTTAGTTCTTTCTGCTTATTCGTTATAAAGATAAACAGTGACGGACATAGTCAATTAGGTGTAAAAGGGGGCCGCAAAATATGTTGAAATTTTAGCTCCAGGTTTGCGAAAAAGGTTTTCGACCCTGATATTTTTTTTCTAGCAACTGGGGCTCTAAAAATAATTTTTCACGCAATCATATTCGCAATGAAATAAATGTAACTTGGTCCCTGAGAAAGATATTTCCATTAATAATTTTATGGTTTTCTCCGATAAGGTTTCTGAACTCCATCCATCTAGCACACACTTCCTTGGTCTTCACTCCAGAATACTATAATTGTATTCTTGTAACAAATATATATAGTGTTAAATATGCCAAAGTTACGTCGGGATAAATATTATGGGCTTAAAATCAACAACTCATTACCAATGATATTTTGATAATACGGGATTATAATTTATTATTACTTTGTACAAACAAAATCAAACTATACTATATGATCAATTATAACAAACGTAGAGAAGGTCAGCAGTGTTAACTTCAATCGTCTGATACTTGAAAGGGTTGACGAACAACTGCCTCATCTGTAAGCTTTCGTTAGACCCGCCATCTCCTGCTCTGGGTTACATCCCTAGCTTCCCTGGCTCGGCGGGTCAATCCTCCTTGCACCACGCTACCCTGAGATAAGGGATAGCGTCAGGTAGAAACTGATCGCAGAATTCAGCGTGGCTTGATCTTTAAATAACTTGGCTTGGCTTTGTCTATTTATAACTACAAACTAGCACTTTTATATATACAGAGGGGGGGAGGGGTTAATACCCCTTTCAGCAATAGTTCGCTGAAAGATCAAACAATGATCATCCCTATGCCACATGCCCCCCTGATCTTCTCAGCGATCTAGAGGCGGGTCAGGGCAGGCTCCAGCTCCACCTTCTCCTTGGCGTTCCCACTCCTGGAGGTGTACCTTACCCCTTGGGTGGGGACCCTCCTCATTGGCATCGATTGGGAATCTCCCATAAGATCAATTAACAACTGTGCTGTCCGCAGCTGCTCTTCAGACTCGGATTTCTTGCAGGACTTGCAAACAAGGACTCCAGATCTGGCAGCCCATACTCCATAGTGTACTGCAGTGATTATTCCTCCACAAATTCCCACGAATGATACTCCAGTCCAGATTGGTCCCAAAATCTTTACCAAAAAATAGTCCCATGGTCCCAACTCCACCAGCTCTATGGTTTCCTTCTCCAACTTGGACAATGAGTCCGAGGGAGTCCCTGGGAGTGGATTTAAATCACATTCATCGTCCTGAGCGCAGACTGCATGGGTCAATGTGCCTGTCACTTGCTCCTTATAGTGGAGCAAGGATGTCACATGCTCGTAATCATGCTCCTCCTGCTCTGTATATAGTCCTACCTCATCAGCATGATGAGATAGGACTAGGTTGCCGTTCTGCTCAGTCCTAGGAGGAGGGACTTTCTTCACTTTTGGACCAACTCAGATCCATCCATCGACTCCTTGTAAAACACGAGGAAAGTTCTCTATACATGGCTCCTTAGAAGATTCCTGTCGGAGCATTCTATTTTCCAGATTCATGAACTTGTATTTGCCTACTTGTTCTATCGGAGCATCTTGGTAGCAAAACTCCGACTCTATCAAATCAACAATCACTCTTCGACACTGATACTGATAGATGACATCCGCACAGCGGAATAAAAATGTATCATTTTCCACCCTGTGCGGTGCAGCTAAACTAGGCTCTTTCACATTCAGAGCGCAAAACACTGACTTGCCCAGTGCATCCTTGCGCCCTTCCACCACTTCGAGCTTGAACCTCAGGAACAAAGATAAGGACCTGAATTCAGCCGCATAACTCACATCCTGGGGCCTGATTTTGGCAATTTTTGAATCTGTCATTTCTGAGCTTCTAACCAGCACAATATCCTTGACATTCGTAGAGTAGGCCTTGTATCCTCCACAAGGGATGGGGAGGGCATGCCCCCCCTTTAACTCATAAAATAGTTCATTCTCTGTGGATGCAAAATAGTACGGAGCTAATAAACCTTCTACCTCTCTAATCAGCTTGTAGGTGCAGCTGCCTGCTGGCTGGTCACATGCGTAGGTATGTAACGCACCTACACAGCCTTGTGATGGACCTCTTGGGTTGCAGGCTAACAACTCTGAGGACGACATTGCTCTTATCTCCGACCCCTCTACCAAGAACACCTCTGTCTCAATCTGCACTGCATACTCCATATGAGACACTATCCCCTTCTGGATTGACCCGTCCATCAGAATGTCTTGGCCCTGGCATTTAATTTCAGAGTTTGACACGGTCTGGAACCCCATACTGAACTCCATGATATACGTCCTCCCAGGGACCACTATTGTCTCTGTTTTCCGTCCCTGGGGGTTACAAACTGGCGGGTACGTGCCATTTCAGCACATGACTGGGCTGTAATCATCGAGATATTAGTATTAGAGGGGGCATCTGGAATTTTAGACTTCTTATTGTACAGCCACTGTACACAATGACCCGATCAGAAATTCTACCTGGGGGGATCTTAATTCGTAAATCAGTGTTTTAAGACATTATTGTTTGAAAGTGAAGCCTACAATATTCAAGCAAAGAAAATAAGCTCATATGATTTTTGTATAAAAATGAGACATTACAAATAGAGAAAAAAATAAAATCCTTCTCCTTAATAACATCTTGCTTATTATCAAATTCTTTACTTCTGAAATCTACATTGTACAATTAACTCTTAGGAATATATGTTTCTGACTTTTAGAATTAGAATGAAAAGCAATTCTGAACTAATAATAGATCTAAATTAGGTTAGACTTAATTTTTATGTTATTGAAGAACTTAAAACTGTCAAAATATTTGTTTTACATAAATGAACTTAACGTGAAACAAGTGATTTTTAAATAGAAATAATCTATTGGTTTTGTAGGAGCATATAAAAATTGGGTGTTTGTCTTCCAGATAACTTGTTCTATCCACTCTTTTCGTATGTTATGAAAAATTTCTGAACCCGAAACATCGTTGTTTACACAATTTTTGACACTACAATATCTCATTGTTGAAAAATATTAAAATTAACTGTTCACACAATACCGTACAAATAGATGTACTTAGGATTAAACCCACTGTACTCTATGATACCAACTCAGTCATAAGGAAACATTTTTCGAAAAAATTCACTGTACAGTATAAACTTAGCCAGGCAAAATTAGGAGAGTTATGCCCGCCCCCTGGCTGTAATCACCATGGTCTGTTCTTGCTCTGCACTGAGGATTGGCTTACTGTATGACCACATCCCGCAATAATACATCTTGCGGTGAGTTGTATCTTGACACTTATAACCGTTAACTGTTTGAGAGTTCACATGCTGCAATATCATCCTTTTCTCTGACACTCCTTCCACCTCTGGATTAAACCTGCAGTGGGCTGCACGGTCGAACATCTTTATGTTCATAGGCTGGGAGCAGTCGTAGGCCTCCAGCTTGTACTCCTCCTTAGCTGAGACCTGGGCCCCCAGCAATGCAATCATGCCCACGAAGAGCAACTGGCTCACTCCTTTGCTCCTCCTTCCCTGGTAGGGACCCGCCCATTCTCATTCCTCACCATTAGTCTGACCAGCTTTCCCAGGCTCTCTCCTCTCTTCATCTGAACAAAGATATCATTATTATGGTTAATCAAGTAAATTACAGGTGAACGTGACACCCCCGCCCTCGGGGAAAATTTTGAAGGAAAAAGATTCTTTTCAACAATAGTATTAAACAGGATTGGAAACATGAAATCATTCCCACTATTTTGCCAAGACTCTTCAATTAAATGTACCCATGCCCCTTGCCCAGGGTGGAGTGTCACGGAATTTTTCACTTTTGCAATTTTTGAGTTTTGACCTGAAATTGTATTAATTCCTTCCTTATCTTTTCGACTACTTTTTTCTGCTTCATCATCTGTATCGCTCCAACTACTTTCTTCTGCTTCCTGTTCATTCCTACCTCCTTCTGCTACTTCATATCTAGGCCTTACGCTACTTTTAAAACTACTACTACTTTTGATACTTCCTGTCTGCACCCTTTCTAGGGATGCAGCTCTTGTTTTTGTAGATCTCTCACTCTCTCTAGACTTGCTCCTCTTCCTCAAAGGTGCTGTAGGTTCTGGCATCTGAGCCCAGCTCTCTTTGAGCACTGCCTTCAGTGTCTTCAGGGATGGAGCTATAGACGATTTTGCTCCTCTCCTAGATCTGGGAGCACCAGGCATCTTGAACTCTGCGCTGTATCTGTCCGTTGGAATTGATACTCTGCTGGATTTTCTTCTAGTTACTTTAGTAGCAGTGCTGCCATCTAACGGCCACGGTTCCAACCTTAATTCTTCGACATTTTCTGTGGCTCTTGTTCCTTGAGTATCTCCTGCTGGAGGGGTATTTATTTTCTCCATTATTACCCTCACAGCTCTTGTTTCCTGTCTTCCAGTAGGGGTATTTATTTCCTGGTTTTCAATACTCCCCCATTCCTCCTCTGGTCTCTGGAGTCTTTTCAGGTTCTGGTTCTGGGACAAGGTTAGCTGCCGACCCTGTTACCAGGTCATCTTCTGCTGGTGAGTCTTGCAGCATCTCATTCAGCAGTTCGTCTTCCATGTTTCCAACTTGGAAATGACTATCAAATATTTCTTCAGGGCTGCTCCCACGGGACTGTGCTGAACCAGGAGATTGAACAAATGACTGAAAAAAATCATTCTCCCTGCACCTTGAACTAGTTGCAATACTCGAA